CAGATTCAGAGGTAAACTTATGACACAATATACAGGCTTTTCTGATCTAGGTCTACCAGTTGCACCCTACTCCAGAGGCTCAAGAGGTGGAAAAGATCAAGGATGCACGTATGACTGTCGAGCAGCTAAGAGAACTCGGCGAAGCTCTCTTGATCGTCAGCGCGAGGTCCAGTTGTATGAAGGAAAGGAAGGAGTTGCGAGCCTTGATGGACGAGAATCTTTCCACAGGCGAGGTGAGATGCCTAGAGCACAAAGTGATTGTCCACCTTGCTAATATCATTATCTAGGACCCGAAAGCACCCCAGAATCCTCTTGCAAAGAAGATTCGCAACATGTTGACAAAGATCGACAAGCAGTTGTCTGCTTACGACGAAAAGGTCGGATCCTCATTACAGTTGATACAGATGGACCCACATGGTGTGTACTCTAAGACTCGTTATCAAATCAAACTGACATCATTTAGGTCGGATATCCCTCAAAGATTTGGAGCAAGCCCTTAATGTTATCGCACATGCTCCCCCACCAGAAGTCGTCCAAGCAATCGTCAAAAAATTGGATGTAGATGACGACGGTTATGTCATGTTAGAGCACGTGCTTGACCTGATTGGAGAAGAAGGCTTAGGTATGTGATCGCCTCTTTCTACCTGGGCCTCGAAACTGAGCTTTATCCGCAGGTGTTGTAGTGGATGCAGACGCACAAGACTTGCTTGGCCAAGGGAGAGAGATTATAGACTCTAAAGCTGCAAAGCCGAAGAAGGAGGATATTATACAAGAGTAGATCGATTTTATAGGCGCAGTTACCACCACTACTTCCATGCTTGCCTAGCTGGCAATGATAGAAGATTAGACTATGCGCCACTACTTTACGTTCTGATCAATTATTGGCTTGTGGGATGTTTGGATCATGGATTTGCACGTGCATATCGCCTAAGACATTATAAAAACATGCATACAACGGCACTCCCGTGCATAGCAATCTCCTATGCTCCATCAAGAGTTTATTCGACGGGAACAGCAGGGAACTCGAATGTCACTTCCTTTCCA